GGGGGGTGGTGGGGGGGTGGTATCCAGCGGGGTGGGGAAACCCTCCGATTTCAAGGCAGTGTAGGGCGTCCGCAGAGACCGCGCTGCATCTTGGGCGCCCTAGCTCACCCAGCCGCCCCTCATTCCGCACTCTCGCCTCCCTCATCCAGTACATGGGCCCTCTTACCACATCGATGGCTCTTGACCGCCTAGAGAGCTGCGCGCTCCGCGCCTGGTGACCCTGCAAGTTCTGGCCACAACCCAGGGTACACAGACGCAGGGTTGCTGGGGGTCTGGGTAATGACTGGAAGTCTCTATTTCCTCCGGGTAAAATAGTGCTAACGAGGCCGCGAGCGGACTGGGAGAACAGTCAAAGTGCGGAGCTCAAAGCTGTGGAATTCCTCCGAAGTCCGAGACCAGCCCTTGGGAGGCTCATCTGTTGTTCCGCCCTGAGCGTCTCTTTGGGCTCCTATTCTGCTATCGCGCTCTTTTCCCAGCTAGACTAGCAGCTGCTGCTGCCCTGCCGAGGGTGGGCTACTTGGAGCACAGAGGGGTTGGGTGAGGGAGGACAGCCCCTCCCACTCTGCCCCGCCCCCTCTTCGGCCCCGCCCGCAAGCCCACAGCTCGTTTCCCTCAGTCCCAGAATCCGAATCTTGACCTCTCACGTTGTGGCCTCCCGAAAGCCCAAGAGGGACCAAACCCCACCTGGAAGGGTTCTCCCTGGGGCCAGATCCTCTGGACGCACATCACAGGTGTTTTCTCTGAGGAAGTGGGGCGCCCGAGGGGCCAAGGGCGGGTCTCAGGACTAGGAAGACCCAGTGCATTGGCAATTTGGAGATCTTAGGGGAGGTGCCCTGGGTGCTCTGGGCCTGGCTTTGCTGGGGCCGACTGCTGGAGATGCGGTAGCCCCCAATCGGATCCCAGGAGGGCAGACCTAGCCCAAGTAGCCAGAAAAGTGAAACTCTCAAGCACCGGTCCGCACCTCACACAACGCGTCCGCCGACGCAGGCGGGGCTGCACCGTGCGCGCCCATGCGAGTGGGGGGAGACCATAGAACTCCTGCCCAGCTCTGATCATAAGTGGCTTTCCAAGCTTGGGCCATCTGGTAGCGGCCTTTGCTGCCAAATGCACAAAACGAAAAAGCACCCTGGAAGGGAGCAGCGGGAGTGAACGCTAGGTCCCAGCACAGAGCCCCCAAGGGTTACTTTCTTGTGACACCAAAACCCTGGCAGCCAGGGGGGAAATGGAAAAGTCGTTGCCAACAGCTAACCCCTCCCCAAGCCCAAAAGAGGTCGATCGTGAGCAACTATCCTTCAACCCGGATCCCTAAAGCATGAAACGGGCACCTTTTCCCGTGCGTTTGGATCAAGGCTCCCTTGTGGGCAGCGGGTAATTGTATTAGCAGCCACTTATTACTAAATTAATATACAGCGCCATCCAAGAGAAGAAAAACTACAACACGCAGCATCTGTTCAGAGCCTACCCTGCGCAGGGCTCGGAGTCCACCACAATCTCATTTCACCCTCTGGCGATTCTTTGGGGTACAGATTCTTTGCACCCTGAGGAGGACTTCAGCGTCAAGCGGGCCCCATGCACAGACCTACGGTTGCGTCTCATTCTTGTTAAGGCCCTGAAAGGGGCCCTCTACGCGTCCTGGACCTGAAGGCTCTGAGATATCTGGGACCCCTGTTTACCCCGCCTGGGCTTGGACTCGAAAGAAAACCGGTGCTTTGGGGGTGGGGGGGGGAGTCGTGGCCCTGAATTGCACAGTGACTTCCTAGGAAACTCCAAGAGGAGACCCTGTTACTCTCCCGAAAGCTTCCAAGGGGGGAGGGGGTGTCCCTGAGCAAGCTCTGCTTTCCGACCCAGCTAGGCGCAAGGAAGTGGAACCTCCTGGCTGCGTCCGCGACTGGAGGCAGCAAATGTGCCCCCTGTATAGCTGGCCTTGCCTCACAACCATGCGTGCAGTTTGTTGGCGAGACCGGAAGCCCAGTCGAGCAGGCCAAGTCTAACCGGTCGGCCTATGGACTCTTCTGTCCTTCGGCTGTCCCGATCCATCAGGAGAGCTGTTCTTGTAAGTGTTCGCGCAACCCTGCACCAACCGGAGACAGAGAGGCCAAGAAGCCGTAGGGCGATCCGTGGTCCCCGACGGCGGCCACTGACCTCAGGTGGCCGGTGGACCGGGGCTTTTTCCCTAACCGGGCGCACTAAGCCAGCTGCTTAGATCTTCAAATCTACATTCTTTAGGGCGATAAAATATGTTCTCGTATTTTTTCCTGATTTCCTATTAAACCTTTTGCCTAACTAAACTCCCATCCAACGGGATTTATTTCGTCCCTGGGGAGATAAATCAGGGGGCAAATTTACAACCAGGGAGGCACCTGCCGCGCTAATGGGCCCTTCATGGAGTGCGTAGCCAGCGGGGAGCGCGCAGACGGGCGGGGCACTGGCCAATGGCCGGGCCGCCGGTGCCCATAGCCAATCAGTGCGCG